TAATAATAATTTATGTCTGGTAGAATTGTGAGCATTAAATGAAATGGGGCAAATAAAGTGATGTACTTAGAAAGGGCTCAGTAAATATTATTGTGGGTGAGGAAAAATAATTTTCCCTCTACCATTCTAGGTTCTTGGCTGAGACACCCCTGTTATAAAAAGATTAATGGGGGAGAAACAACCAGAAATTTAATAACATGTGTACCTCCTGTACACGTGGGAGATACCCTGGAAAAACCGTGTGACTCCAAAATGGCCCAAGCCACTACCTTAAATACGATTTCCAGCTAAAGATAAAAACACTACTGGGGTGGGGTGAGGTGGGGGGAGTCATTTATGGGCGGTTATCAGGAAAAGCACAGTAAAGAAGGGTAAGGTGGTTATGCAGTTTTAAGTGGTTGCTTTCTGCATTGATAAGAGTTTCTAGAGATTTTGAGCCCTCCTCTTCCTGGTACTGGAGGAAGACACCCTTACAAGTGGAGATTTCTCTTTTAAATATGTCTCTTACGAAAGGGTAACTTCTCAGTTTCCAGAGCTTCACCTGTGTCTGCTGTTTCTTAAAAATAACCTGTTCAAAATAATATGTCAAAGAGGCATGTTTTGGGATGATATGTTTCGTTCCCCTTCATTATCTTAAACAGATAAACAAAATGCGTTGCTGCTTTAGCTGCTCTCCTCCTTGTAGTTTGAAACGTTTGTTTAGAAGTTACCCAAATCAAGATAATCTGTTTTTAAGAATCATCAAGAAAAAAAAAGTCTTGGCTTGCATTTAAGACAATCTGAATTTTCCTGCAGCCAGAGTTGGCAGGGTTAATGCGCTCCAGCCGAGAGGCCATGCTGTTACCTTCCGGCAGCCGCATATGCAGATGCTGTTGTATTAATTACAAAAGAAAACCTGATTAACTCGAAAGTCCTTTAACTGTCAGTGAGGCAGCTGCTCAAATCTGAAACAGATTTTCTTCCTCCCTCCTACTGGTCAGTCTACAGTTTTTAATCTCTTCTTAAGAAAACTGCTAAAACTGCCTGGCAGGTCCTCAGAGCCCCTGGCTAGTTCAGTCAGCTTTTGATCTGCCGTTATAGTAGTCCAGGGAGAGCTCGAGCAATTAAATTCACGTACAGTTTAAAATAAAAACAATCAGACCAACTGCCCATCCCCCTCAGTTATTTTTCTTTCAACAGTTAAAACCTGATGGAATCCTGGAATTTCAGAACTGGAAGGGGTGTTAAAGATGATCTAATCCAAGTCCCTTAGTTCACCGATGAGAAATCCAAAGCTGAGAGAAGCAAGTAGATTGCCAGTCAGTGGTGAAGCCCGGGATCAGAGCGTCTGCCCTCGGCTGGCGCTCTGCCCACTCCCTCGCTGCGCTCCTCCCTCACCAACGCATTTGCCGAGAGTAGCAAGGAGTGAAATGATCTCGTTTCAGCTTCATTTCTCTCCATGCTCTTGTTCAAATCTTGTAGGCACGTTGAAGAGCAATGAAAAAGCTCCAGATTAGTGGGAGAAGCAAAGGCCTTGGATAATGACGTTTTGAAAGACAGATGGCAATATCCATTTTGAAGAACTTTTCTCAGTCCAGTGGGTTGCACGCAGAACCCTAGCAGAGTGCGTGGAAATGAAAATTAGAACTGGTTTCGCTGTCAGCCCCCTCTCCCGTTGCACTGGCCTATGGTTGTTAGACTCTAGCGGGTTTATTTATAGTGACTATTTTTGTCACTACAGAGATGGGGGTGTGATAGTTTGGACCAGATGAGTAATGGGGTATGTCCACTGTGGTTTTGGCCAATGCAGCATGGTTTACTGGCTTTCCTATAGTTGACCCTGAGGTCTCAGAGGTGTTAAGATCTTTCTCTCTGGTCCTGAAAAATGGTTAGTTGGTTTTTGTTCTCTGTTACCTTCTCTCCCAGCAGCAGCAGTCACAAAACTCATTTAAGCTTATTTTTGTTATGGCTTTTATTTAGGCTTATTTTTATAACTTTTGTTATAGGAGTTTGGACACTCAGACACCGCCTGAGATCTGAGGAAGATCGGGAAAAGAGAAAGAACAGGAAGGGTAGATAAGAGTGAATCTAACTGGACTTCTCACTGCTCAGGCTGAGACTGTGGTCTGCAGGTGAATGGGGAGGTACTATTCTGTCTCCATGTTGAGATGAAGGAGGTTTTTAGGAATGACAGTTGCTCCTATGCTATTCATGGTACCGGACTGTTCATCATGCTACTGGACTTTTCTGAGTACTTAGTAGAACCACTTCTGTCTTTCTGTAGACAATTCTCCATGGTAAATGGATTCTTACACAAAGCAAGAAAGCATATAACAAAGCACGAACTATTTTTTAGTCATTGTGTTGGGTGTTGAGGATACAGAGGGAAATATGATGGTTCTTCCTGCTTTTGGTAATTATAAACATACAACTAGAATAGTCTGTATAGGGGAGCAAGATTTGCCATCTCAAAATGTGTCTCTGTGGTATGAAGATTATTTTAGGCTTGGTTGTTTTAAAGAAACAAAAGGCTCAGGAAGAGCTTTTGTCTCCTCTGCCTTAACTGCCTAAAAGAATTTAGATAGAGGACCTATCCTAGAAAGAGAGCTATCACCAGGGCTGGCTACAGTGTAATATGAACCAGGTGTAGTAGTCAGGGGAGGAACCTAGCAAGGCCTGTTTGGTCAAAGTCCTCTCTATGTCCCATTGTTTCTGGATGGCCCAGCAAACATTTTACCAAACATTTACTCTTCATTCTTACTGTGAATTGCCTTGTTTCCCTGTAAAGACCGAGCCCCCTACCCGCTCTCCTTAGTCCAGGATGACATATGTATCTCATTTAACCCGTCTTTGGAATCTCATGTTCGGATTCCCCATGTGTACCTAATTAAATTTCATTTTCTCCTGGTAATCTGTCTCATGTCAATTTAATTCTTAGACCCAGCCAGAGGAAACTAAAAGGGTAGAGGAAAATTGTTTTTCCTCCCTGACAACTGTGGTAAGTGTTGTTTAGTTGTCAATAAGATATGAAGGGACTCAGGACTCACTACTTGCTAAGTGGTCGGACAGCAATTGGCTGTGTCCCCTTGCTTTTAGATTGTATCAGTGGGTCAAAAATTAGACCAGTGGTCTGGTGTTTTACTCTCGCGCTTAGTAAATACCTTGCACAGAATTGGGCACTCAGTTAACACTTTGCCTTCTCATCTCTGTCCCAGGAGAACAGATTTCCTGTTTCATGTCTCGTATTACTGGTTTGCATGTGCTGGCCAGGTGAGGTACTTATAGGCCGACATGAAAGGAAGGGCTTAATGAAATTCATAAAGGGGGCTGGGTGAAAGCCAACTTCCTTAAATCTTTTGGTGGTGCCATTTGTGGGAGAGAAAAAGATTTGAGGATTTGAAATACTGAGTTTGAAGCAGGATAGGCAGAGTCTGAAGTAGGACAACCTCTTAAATGAATCAGGCCTCTCTTGTTTAATTACATAAACAAAATGAATAGCTCATGGTTAAGTGACTAAAGCAAATACTGTTTCACTTGGTGCCACCCTAAATTTCAATTAAGATGTATGTATTTGGCTCGGAGATTGGACTTCTAACAGCCTAAGAACCATGTGTCTGTGCCTTTCTGGACAAACACAAAGTTGCCTGAATCTTAGACTTGCGCAGGCACTGGCACTGAACAAGCTGGGGAGTGATCGAGTTCAGAATATGAGAGTTCTAGTCAACTAATTTCTGGTTCTTTTTCCCAAATAGATGTTCTCATACTTTAGGAAGACTTTTGTTTTCTCTCTTTTTAAAAAAAAATTAAATTATTTTTTATTTTCATTTATTTATTTTTGGCTGCATTGGGTCTCCATTGCTGCACGTGGGCTTTCTCTAGCTGCAGTTAGCGGGGGCTACTCTTCATTGCGGTGCACGGGCTTCTCATTGTGGTGGCTTCTCTCGTTGCGGAGCACGGGCTCTACGCACGCGGGCTTCAGTAGTTGTGGCATGCAGGCTCAGTAGTTGTGGCTCGTGGGCTCTAGAGCACAGGCTCAGTAGTTGTGGCGCATGGGGTTAGTTGCTCTGAGGCATGTGGGATCTTCCCAGACCAGGGCTCGAACCCGTGTCACCTGCATTGGCAGGCAGATTCTTAATCACTGTGCCACCAGGGAAGTCCCTTGTTTTCTCTTGAGTATTATTTGATCTGTTTAGATGAGTGTGGTGTCCTGAAAGGATATTTCTGAGATGGATCACATCTCTTCCTAGATTTGCCTGGATTTTATCCTAACAGGTGGTTCTTTCCCTTTGTCTTATTCAGGGTCTTGTCCTCCATAAACTGAAAGAATGTGATTTGATTAGGAGATATTGATCTTAATTGAGCACCCAGTGTTTTAAGAAAACAGATGACTTGGCAGCTAGGATGCTGTCACCAGCCATCAGTGAAATGAACCAGAAAAGATTCTAGAGCTTATGCACACTTGAATAACATTTTATTTCAATACATGCGTATTTAAAGACTGGCTGATACATTTAGTTATAAAATATGTTATAAATGAGGAAAATAAGCTAAAACTGCATGTGGTAGAGTCATTTTAAAGGGCCTTTATATGTTCAAGTATTAGGTCTTGTGTCACAAGGAAGGTTTTCATTTTGATTCTTGGATTCACATCCCAGTTCGTGTAGTCTTTTCTGGCTTTGTCAGTTTAATGATCTTGTACTTGAGTTCCTTGTAAACTCCTTAGGCTGTCCCTCCACTGGTTGAAAAACGAGAGGGGAGGGTAGATCGGGTCACTGCCACCTTTCTGGATAGAAACAACTGTTCTGGGAATGAGCCAGAGAGGGGAATCCTGTTTGATATTTGAGGAACCTTTTCTGACTGGGGTGTTTTCCTGGTATCTCCTTCAGCCAAGAGCTTCCTAGAAATTTCTTTTCTAGGAGCCTGACATCCTAATGGGATCTCCCTGGAAGTCTCTCCCTACTCCTCCTCACTCTTCTCTCTGTACTCCTTTCTCCTTCTCCACCCTCCCCTTCCCCAACCAGGCCAGCTGAGCTGCATTTCCTTCCCACCTAAGGAAGAGAAGTACCTCCAGCAGATTGTGGACTGCCTCCCCTGCATCTTGATCCTCGGCCAGGACTGTAATGTCAAGTGCCAGCTGTTGAACCTGCTCTTGGGGGTGCAGGTGCTTCCCACCACCAAGCTGGGCAGTGAGGAGAACTGTAAGCTTCGGCGCCTCCGCTTCACCTATGGGACTCAGACTCGGGTCAGCCTGGCACTCCCTGGCCAGTATGAACTAGTGCACACGCTGGTTGCTCACCAGGGCAACTGGGACACCATCCCTGAGGAGGACCTGGAGGTCCAAGAGGACAGTGAGGATGCTGCCCATGTTTTAGCCGAACTGGAGGTGACGATGCACCATGCTCTCTTACAGGTACCAAACTCATACTTATATAGTTGCACAGATATATACCAGCTTTCCTTGTATTTGAGCTTTCTCAGAAAATAATTTGGCAATATGTACTCTGGGCTCTGAGCATCAGCTGATGCTCAGAGTCAAAGGAACATGATCTAGGAAGTTGAAAACCAGACAAGGCTGTAGCAGTGCCCATCGCTGCCTCTACTACCATGCTGCAAGGCCCTGGGCAATTTGCTTAATTCCTGTCTAAAATTGAAGGAATGTGTTACTTGCATCTCAACTGTGCTTTGACAGAATTAGGATCAAGGTTAGAAATCCTTTTTTCATTTCTTAGCAGGAAGGTGTCGCTAGGATTGTCTCTAGCCATCCCTTTCTGAAAGGTGCAAATAAGATGATTAATGTTCTTATTTGAGTTGAGAACAAGTGAAGAACTTTTGAAGTTTTCCTTAGACCTGCCATTATTTACTAAGTGAGACAGATCATGTCTCCTACTTTCTAAGGGACTTCAGAACTTGAGGACAGGTCTGGCTCAATGTAAGGAGATATGGAGATCCCCATCTGAAGAATATCTTTGCTTTTCTCAAAGATATTCTTCCAACTCCCAAACAGAACATAGGTCTTGCGGCATCTCCTAAAAGATCATATTGTCTATCTGGTATTCAGATCTCCATTTAGGAAGGACTCGTCTCTGTATAGCTAGGACTGGGCTACTGTATAGCTAGGACTGGGCTATTTGATTAGGCCAAATGGGGATGAGCAGAGGATGTGACTATGTTGGGGGTCAGGAGAATGGCGGGGATGGGCAGGGAAGGTGACTATGTCAGGGATCAGGAGCTGGTAGGAATAAAAGAATGCAGATGTGCTCAAAACAGAGCATCCATCACCTTGGTTAGCTGTGCCAGGAAGGAAGGGCTAGTTTGGCAGGACTAGGAGAACGGTTTCTTCTTCTCTTCACCTACCCCTGTTCTAGAAGGCTTGATCTCAGTCAGTGAGTGAGTCCTTTGGTTGTGGCCTCAGCCTATGATCCTCTAGAAGTAGAAACTGTCATCTCATTTCCTTCCAGAGTCCAGATTTCTTTTATCTTGATAAATGCTAGAGGGGGCTATGTATACCAGCCAGCATTTCCTCTCAGCTCAGTTTCAGTGGTGGCTTTCCTCTGTGTTCAAACTGGGAGCGTGCACTGCTTATCTCCAGGACGATGTTAGAGTTCTTGGATAACTCTGACAGTAGCTCTGACAGTGATCTTTGTTTATTGACTGAGCCTCTGCTCAGTTGACCCGCAAACTTCTTCACAATTCATAAGTATTTGATCCATACACAATCTCTATAGTATTCTGCTCTGGTCTAGTTCCTTCAGTGTCCAATAACTTGGTGGTTTTCAAACTTTTTTAGATTTTAATTCACTCTAAGAAATAACATTTTATTATCAGGACCCAGTACATATATACACGCATACATCTGAAATAAAGTTTCATAAGACAATACTTTTACTTCTTGCAAAACACACTGATATTTTCTTCTCTATTCTATTTGACTTCTTTTTTTAAAAAAATGATGGTAGCAGCCCACTAAATTGATGATCTGACTTAATGTATTGTGACCTGCAACTTAAAAGACACTGTTAAATAGCTGAAATGACTGCTATTGGGTGGTGATTTTTCCTGTTCTTGCCTTTTGTAAAGAGTCTTGGAATGTGAACAAAGCCATCTGCAGGACAGGCACATTATCTGATTGATTTTTCTGTGTCCCTTCATTTTATTGGTTTTAATTTTTAATGCTCATTTACTTTTGCCCCATGAATTGAGGCGATAAAATAAAGTCACAGAAAAGAAAGTGAGAGCCATTTCCCAAGTGCATACCTGAGCAAGTATCTTACTGGTGAGAGTTCCCATCGCTGCTCCAGGTATACGTAGTAAGTAAGCACTCAAACTGAGTTAACAGTTAAGGAGGCTACTTGGCTGGGAGGAAAGTTGAGATACCTAATTAACTTTCTCTCTGCACAGTTGAAATATATATTCTCTTTCTTGAGAAATATTCTTCCCTTTTCTTGTGGAATTCTCCAGCCTCTCATTGTTCTATTTCATGTGGTTTGTGAGGCTTCCTTAGCTAGTGTTTCTCCGGATCTGCTTTATACTCCAGTGGGTTTGATGTGGAAACAGCATTTCTAACTTTAGAATCCCTTGATGCTGAGCCTCAGAGGGGCCTTAGCAGCCTTTGGGGCCCTCAGGCCCTGCTCAGTCACTATAGTCAGGCTCCTGTCTCCATTTAGTGTATCAGGGATGCTCAGCTTACTGCTGGGAGCATTTCCTAACTACCTTGAAGATTCTTTGTGCCAGTGAGAAAGATTTTTTTTTTTTAGCTCCAGTTATATTAGCTCTAAACAGCCAGGGCTGTGGCCAGGGAGTTAGCTCTAAGCAGCCCTTCCATTTGGTTTGTAAAGGGAGTGGTAAAGAAAGGAAACATTTAGCTAAAGGAAACCAAGATTGAAATAGGGGAAGTGAGATGTTCATTTTTAACTGTCAAATTATTAAAACAGAATTTCCCCTTACCCTCTTATACAATGGTCATTCTTCTAACACGTTACTTTAAAGGCCTCATAAATTAGCCATTTTCAGTTTGTTCTGGAATAGGCCAACTCACGTGGTACCCACATGGAATACCACAGTATTCCCAGCTTTTTAGCTCTGGGTCCCCTGAGATTCTCAGTTCATAATTCAATAATAGAGGAATACTATCAAGCTGTTAGTTTCTGAAACCTCATTTAGTGTTAAAACATAGTCCTTTTCCAGCTGGCAACACATTTTACCATTCACCATATTCACTAGTTCTGTCTTCATTTACATACTTCCCCTTCCTAACCTTCACCCCCTTTCTGGTACATACATCACCTCCTTTTCTTTTTTGTTCCTTTTACAAGTCCAGTGGAACACAGCTGTCTGCCTTAGAGTTGCCTCAATCTGATGTGTGAGTGTGTATATGTTTTTCCCTATGAACACCTATAAGAAAAGGAATAAAAAGAAGCAGAGATGATTAAACTTCCTCAGCCTAAGATGGGATTCCTGCAGCCTAGCAGTGGCATTTCATTTTCTGTGGCAGTTTCATAGCTCTCAGTTTTCTGCTCTAATCAATAGCCTGTTTATCCCTACCAGGTGTTTTCTGGCCCTCTGGACAAATGTACATGTCACCTGGCAGCCAGGCTGCCACACACTGTCATGGTTACTGGCTCATGGTGATGTCTGGTAGGGTGTATTTCAGGGAACTACACCCTACCAGACATCACCTAATGTAGACTAATGTTTCCAGGAAAGGTCTAATGACTTGCAAATAAACTTTTTTTTTTTTACTACTTTGAACTCTTAACCATTTGGAGTAGTAAAATTTTCTCTTTATAACCCTCAGTCAGTAGCCATCAATGGAAATAATCTGTTTGTAATTTCATACAGACATTGATATTTTTATTTTTTAATTTTTAAAAATTAAAAGTTTTTAATTTGATTTATAATTTTTTAGTTATTTACAGTGTTGTACAGCAAAGTGATTCAGTCATATATGTATATTTTTTCAAATTCTTTTCCATTATGGATTACTACAGGATATTGAATATAGTTCTCTGTGCTATACAGTAGGAGCTTGTTATTTATCTGTGTTATATATAGTTGTTTGTATCTGCTAATCCCAAACTCCTAATTTATCCCTCCCCCACCCTCTTTCCCCCTTGGTGACCAGAAATTTGTTTTCTTTGTCTGTGAATCTGTTTATGTTTCATAAATAGGTTCATCTGTGTCATATTTTAGATTCCACATGTAAGTGATATGGTATTTATCTTTCTAACTTACTTCACTTAGTATGATAATCTCTAGGTCCATCTATGTTGCTGCAAGTGGCATTATTTATTTCTTTTTTATGGCTGAGTAGTAGTCCATTGTGTATATATATACCACATCTTCTTTATCTATTCATCTGTCGATGGACACTTAGGTTTCTTCCATGTCTTGGCTATTGTAAATAGTGCTGCTATGAACATTGGGGTGCATGTGTCTTTTCAAATTATAGTTTTCTTTGGATATATGCCCAGGAGTGGGATTGCTGGATCATATGGCAACTCTCTTTTTAGTTTTTTAAGGAACCTCCATACTGTTCTCCATAGTGGCTGTACTAATTTACATTCCCACCAACAGTGTAGGAGGGTTCTTTTTTTTCCACACTCTCTCCAGCATTTGTTATTTGTGGACTTTTTAATGATGGCCATTCTGACTGGTATGAGGTGGTACCTCATTACGGTTTTGTTTTGCTGTTGTGATCTATTTTATTCATTTATTTTTAAAAGTTTTTATTGGAGTATAGTTGATTTACAATGTTGTGTTACTTTCAGGTGTACAGCAAAGTGAATCAGTTATACATATATATCTCCACTCGTTTTTAGATTCTTTTCCCATATAGGTCATTACAGAGTAATGAGTAGAGTTCCCTGTGCTATACAGTAGGTCCTTATTAGTTATCTCTTTTATATATAGTAGTGTATATATGTCAATCCCAGTCTCCCAACTTATCTCTCCCTGCTTTTTCCCCCACTGGAAACTATAAGTTTATTTTCTATATCTGTGACTCTATTTCTGTTTTGTAAATAAGTTCAATTGTACCATTTTTTTAGATTCCACATATAAGTGATATCATGTGATATTTGTCTTTCTCTGTCTGACTTACTTCACTCAGTATGACAATCTCTAGGACTATCCATGTTGCTGCAAATGGCATTATTTTGTTCTTTTTTATGGCCGAGTAATATTCCCTTATATATATGTACCATATCTTCTTTATCCATTCCTCTGTCGCCTCCTTATAGTTTTGATTTGCATTTCTCTACTAATTAGTGATGTTGAGCATCTTTTCATGTGCCTATTGGCCATCTGTATGTCTTCTTTGGAAAAATATCTATTTAGATTTTGTGCCCTTTTT